CTGGAAAGTTGTCTGGTGTGAAGTATGGCATAGGGCTGGTGCATTCTGTGTCCTGAATTAGAGCAGAGCCTTCTACAAAGGTAGCTATTATTTATCTTATGCCTCCTGTTAGCAAGATAGTTCTTTGTCTAGAGAGTCAAGGTTCTCAAAGTGTTTTGACTTCCTGACTACCAAATTCATTTAGGACCTTGCCTAAACAATGTCTTAGCCAAAGAACATGGCTTTATAAGGCTCGAGTGAGGAACCTGTTTCTGCCAAAGGCTCTTTGAATATTTATAACCTGTCATGTACCAAATGATTTTTCTGGTCTTAAAGGAACCATGAGTCAAATGTGCCTCACCCCTGCTAGAGTTGATTACAATGAAGTAAATAAAGCACATGGAGTAGAGAGCAGCTCATCGGAAGGGGTGTGCATGTGGTGACTAACTAGAAAGGACACATAAAACAGCAATCTACAACCTGGTGGATCTGCCACAAGGTTGGAGAAAGTTCTGGAAAAGCTCACTTTATTTTTTGGTGATTATTTCAAATTTTCTCCGTAATGGCTACTTATATATGAAAATCCTCTTAGATCAGAACTATATTTTTGAAAGGTTTATGTATTTTTTTCTCTATTCAGACGTTTATTCTATGGAAAAAATGAAAATTTTGTTCAAAGGCAGAAACCCATGTTACCATCATTTTTTAAAAGTACGGAACTTTAAAAAGTATAATTGAACATGTCAGCTTTTGAATACAATACATCTTGATTACTGTCACCCTTTCATCATTTCCCTATCTCCCAACCCCACCCAACTAATTTTTTTTTAAAATAATTAGTATGGTGGCCTTGAAAAAGATAGATTTTTGTGACATGGAAATCTGTGAAATAACATATGTAATGGTAGGAGCACAGGGATATGAGACAATGTAGTAACCTTTTCTTTTTTTCTTTTAAAATAATTTGATTTATAAAAACATTGCAGGGCTGGGACGGTGGCTCAGTGGAAGAGTGCTTGCCTTGCATGACTGAGGCCCTGGGTTCGATTCCTCAGCACCACATAAGCAAAAAAAAAAGCCGGAAATGGCACTGTGACTCAAGTGGTAGAGCGCTAGCCTTGAGCTGAAGGGTTGAGGGACTTCACCCAGGCCCAGAGTTCAGGCCCCATTACCTGACACCCAAAAAATGCAAGAATTATATAAAATATTCTTTTATACTCTTCATCTGGATTCCCTAATTATCAACTTGTTAACATATTTGCTTTATCATTCTCTCCTTTTGTACATAGATACTTTTCTCTTTGTCATTTGAAAGTACGATGTGTGAGTGTCAAAAACAATTACTAATATTAATATAGCACTGTTACCTGATTCTTTAAATTATCTGATTTGCATTCAGATTTGATGAAGTGCTCTACCTTCTTTAATCAGGAATAGAGTGTACATCAGTTCTTTTTGTAACACACATCATGGTTTGTGTTTCTCTGATTTTTTTTTTTCCTGGAGGAACATTGCCATTTACATTTGGTAGGAGCACCAGTAGTGGTCTCCTGTTAATGAGTCATGTGAGAAATATGTAGGGAAGTGTCACTTTTTTTTTCTTATCTTGGGCCTTGAAATTGGTCTGAGCTCAGCTGTCCCTGAGCTTTTCTGCCCAAGGATAGTGCTATACTACATTTAGCAACAGCACTACTTCTGGTTTTCTGGTAGTTAACTGGAAATAAGGATCTCATGGACGTTCCTGAGCAAGCTGGTTTTGAACCACAATTCTCAGATTTCAGCCTCCTGAGTAGCTAGGATTACAAGTGTGAGCCACTGGCACCCAGCTCTGGATTCATGAACCATTTGTTATTTTCTGTCTTTTGTGTTTGAGTTTGTCAAATATTAAACTTCGTGAGTACAAGATTATTTAATTTCATCAGGTTTTAAAATACAGAAGACCTGGTATGGTGGTTTACACCTGATGTCCTAGTAATTATGAGGCTGAAGCAGGTTAATTTCAAGTTCATATCCTGGGTTAGATTAGGAAAACCACGTTTCAAAAAAAACCCAAAACAACAACAAACAAAAGAAATGGGAAAAGTATATGGAATAGATTCTGTTTGCAAGCATTACAGTGTACCAGAACACAGGGATGTTTTTAGGCTTGGTTTCTATCATTAATGTATTTGAAAAGACTTTGGTGTTTTGTTGTTATCTGATCTAGATTTCTATAAATGTAAGACTGATTTTTCCTGATGTTATTTTCCATAAATGTGTTTGCTGTCCAAGTTTTGGGTAGAATTTTTTTAAAGATTTCTGTTTTACAAAAGACCTAGCATAGCCAAAGCAATTATAGGTAAAAGAAACAACACAGGATGGATCATGACACCAGAGTTCATGCTCTACTACAGAACCATAGCAAAGATAGCTTAGTATTGGCACAAAAACAGACCCGAAGACCATTGGAACAGATTAGAAGATCCAGAAGTAAAATGACATACCTATAGTCAGCTGATATTTGATAAAGCAGCCAAAGACATACAGTGGAACAACTATTGGTGCTGGGAAAACTGGGTGAACACATGCAGAAAACTAAAAGTGTACCCCAACCAGTCTCCATGCCCTAGCATCAACTCAAAATGGACTTCAGGAACGAGTAGGTCCTTACAGGCATGCAAGAACTTCCTGAACAGATTCCCAGGGTCACAACAAATTGGAGAGATACTTGCCAAATGGGACTACCTTAAAATAAAAAGTTTCTGCATAGATAAACAAATAGCAACACAACTAGAAAGACAGCTACCTAATTGGGAAAAATATTTACCAGCAATGTATCAGAGAATGTCCTAATATCCACTATATACAGGGAACTTAAGAAACTATCGCCTCTCAAATCTATCCAATCATTACATGGAAAAGCAGCTAAAGAGAGACTTCTCAGCAGAAGATATAAAAATGGCAAAGAAACAGATGAAATGTTCACCACCTTACCCCAATCAGAATGGTCCACATCCTAAATTCAGCCAAAGACAAATGCTGGAGGGGATATAGAGAAAGAGGAACCCTACTGCATTGCTGTTGGGAATGTATACTAATACAACCACTTTGGAAAGCAGTCTGGAGGGTCCTCAGAAAGCTAAATATAGACCTCCCGTATGACCCAGCCATACCACTCCTAGGCATCTACACTGAGCAACAAGAACCAGGATAGAAAGACAATTGCTCCTCCATGTATATTGCAGCACTGTTCACAATATCCAAGATTTGGAAACAACTCAGATGCCCCACTACAGGTGAATGGATCAAAAAATTGTAGTACCTATATACAATGAAATATGCAGCCATTAGAAAGGACAAAATAATGTCATTCACAGGGAAATGAGTAGAACTAGAACAAATCATTTCGAACAAGGTAAGCCAAGATCAGACAGACAAATGGCACATGGCTCCCTGATATGTGGATGTTAAAACCAAAATGCAAGGATATGACAAAATAAACAGGACTCAAGAAACAAGGGACCACTAGTTAATTTGTCATATCATTTCTAAATTCCTCCATGTTCTTGACCATATGTATGATGTATATATATGCATATATATTCCATATATGTGTGCACATCTGAGGGAAGCTAGGAGGAGGACACAGGATCAGAGGGTAATGGAAAAACACACAACAGAGGGGCCCATCAGCTACACCTGACACTGATGAAAATAAACTAAGCAACTGAAGGGCAGCAATGGGAGTGAGGGAATGAGAGGGAAAGAGGGAGCAGCATACACTAAACAAAAGGAATGAAAGGTACATATCACCCGATTTGGAAGAAATAGTTGTATTGTCAAGGCTTATACAATTCACAAACTATAGACCATGATAATGACAACTTTGCATTGTGAAGGTTAAAATGAATATATGACTTTAACTAAGTATTACTATTCCACAATAAGTGTAATCACTTAATCTCAATAAAAACTATTTAAAACATTATTACCCTTTGGACTTTATTCTAACAATTCATAATGTGGAATGATTTTTTTTTCTGTATTTCTATGTCTAGTCTAATTTCCATAAGGGATTTTGATAGGTTAAAAATAATTTCTTTTTTTCTCAAAATTTTATTAAATGCTAACAAAGAAAATTAGAGAAGAATAGAATTTTAAATCAGAAAAAACATTTCTGTTTTAAAATTGTTTTGGATTTCGTTAGAGGGTAGAAAAGCCAATGTAGAGAATTTATTTAAAATAGTCTTTTATATGAAAAACAAAATTAATAATCAGTACTTTGGCATTTCTTTTCAAGAAAAGAAATTTGTAAATGGGATCTTTTTTTTTTCTATTGTGGAAAGAATGGCTTCTCTTAGACATGAGAAAATGATAGTATAATGTTACTGGTGCAAGTATTGAAGCTATTAATGCTCTGGATTTCTTGATTTCAAGATCCCTTTTTGTTTTGGTCAGTCATGGGGCTTGAACTCAGGGTTTGGGCCCTCTCTGCGAGCTTCTTTGTTCAAGGCTAGTGCTTTACCATTTTGAGCCACAGCTCTACTTCCAGCTTTCTGGTGGTTCATTGGAGATAGTGTCTCATAGACTTTCCTCTCCGGGCTGGCTTTGAACTGTGCTCCTCAGATCTCAGCCTCCTGAGTAGCTAGGATTACAGGTGTGAGCCCCTGGCACCTGGCCAGGTTCTCTTTTAAATAAGTAATTTTATTTATGGCAAATGTTTTGAAAAGCCTTTACAAATAAAAAATGTTAATAAACAATGGTTAAAACAATTAAAAAGATGTAGACCTTTAGAACTACATCTTAGGAGATTATAGACTAGTAGAAAAAAAGTAGGTATTCAGAAAGCATTAGGATGGGCAGAAGGGAAAGTGGGCAGGTGATTACACACCAGAGCCTAATGGTCTACCACACCATCCAGGAGACTGGATGTGGCAGAACACAGGCAGAGGCTTGGGTTCTCTTATCATATTGCATTGTCACCTTTTCCTAGACCAGTGGACAGGTTTGATCGAGACAGGCAACTGAGATGACGTGGAGGCCCAAGAGGGGGCATGTTAAGCAGAGGCAGAGGTTGTCCCGGGAACAGAGCTTTTGATGAATTTGACCAGAGAGGGAAATGAGATTTTGAAAGATACAGTGGGAATTATAAAATCTAAGTCACTTTATAAATACTATTTTCCACATAAGTTTCAGTAATACATGAATCTGTTAATTATGTCTGAATATTTAACCAACTTCATATCAGTATGGTATTACTCTGTGAAAGGCTGATCCTGGGACAACTTTTATGATCCACCTTTTCTGATGTAGAAATTGACTGAAGCATCAATTGAAGGTTAAAGGAAAACTCTTCATTTCTCTAGAGCTATTAGACCTGAAGACAGCATGTGTGGATATGGATCTCGTATCTGGGGATTAGGTAAAGACACCAGGTAAGGAGTGAATTTGTGTCCTCTGAAAGCCTATGATGAAGTGGAAATCTATGTACTTTTATTTGCTTATATTGAGAATTGTGATCATTGAATTATGCTTTATAATTAGATATCCCTAGGCAGATACTGATTTGGAGCTTTGATTTACTGAGATAATTTTTTTTTTGTGTAAGTACCTAGGTGAAAACTTTTTGCTGTTGTTAGTGATGGTGGTCGTGGGACTTGAACTCTGGGCCTGGGTGCTATCCCTCAGCTCTTCAGCTGAAGGCTAACTCTCTACTACTTAAGCCACAGCACCTCTTCCAGTTTTCAGTGGTTTATTGGAGATAAGAGTCTCATGGACTGTCCTGCCAGGGCTCGCTTTGAACCGCAATCCTCAGATCTCAGCCTCCTGAGAAGCTAGGATCACAGGCCTGAGCCACCAGTGCCCAGCTTCTAGATAATAACTTTTTAAAACAAGTTTGCTCTGTTGCAGTTAGATTTGAAACTATTTTTAAAGAGCTTTATAATTTTATATTAGCTAAATGATTTGTGACAGATGTCTACATACTTGCTGGTGCCCTAACAAGTATATGGCGTAGCATATTTATGTATGTCTCAAGAAGCTTTCTAAACACCCATACATTATATACTTCTCTGAGACCTTTCAGAGTTCTTTTAGTTTCTTGGTATTGCATCTTACTTTATAGTCATTTGTAGATGTGGGTTGCAGCTCCAAGAGAAGTTTCTCCTGTATTTTGCTCCTGTTAGACATTTCTCTATGGCTTCATGATACTTTAGATCTTTGCCAATTCTGCTAGTTAGATTAGGTATGTGTTTGCTTTTACAGTAGTATTGGCCTTCATGGTGTCTGCTGAGAAAGTGATAGGATATACTGTAGGGTAAGGCATGGTGTAGAGCAAGAAACTGTGTAAGACCATCTTTCTGTAAATTAGAAAACTTGATGCATCTGTATTTCTATTTTCCTTCTTTTAAAGAATCTAAGCTTTTATGCAATCTTGTTTTTATTTATTGTTAGTATTATTCTGGAGAAAGTTCCAGGGTGACCTGGAGTTCTCTGTGTCCCAGGCTGACCTCTAACTTGTGAGCCTGCTACAACCACCTCCTGAATGCTAGTGTTCCGCTCTGTTCCACTATGCCAGACAGAACTTCTTTTCCTTGAGTATCTGTTCTAAAAGACAAATGTATAAAATAATAATGCCAAAAGTAAAATTAGGTTTTCCACCATTCTCTTCTATGGAACCGGAACAGAAACTTTTTGAGTGGTTGCTCAATCTCGAATTCCATAGTTTCAATGATCTTTGTTTTACTTCAATTACATGTACGTATGTATGTATATATACATATATACACATACACACATAATATCTATATGTGTGTATGTAGAGGTGGCTGTGCCATTTATGGGGCTTCCAAGAGTGGTGTAAGGAAGACATGTCTTGTGGCATTCATTTTGGGTTTGTTTGTGACTAATTTAGGCGATGATAGTTTATACATAAGTCTTAGAGTAAGATATTTTTGTGTGTGCAGGATCTGGGGCTTGAACTTAGGGCCTGGGTACTGACCCTGAGCTTTTGTGCTTAAGGCTAGCACTCTACTTGAACCATGTATGTCTTCACTTCTGGCTTTTTAGAGATAAGAGTCTCACTGATTTTCCTGCCCAGCCTGGCTTTGAACCACAATCCTCAGATCTTAGCCTCCTAAGTAGCTAGAATTACAGGTATAAGCCACCAACATCAGGTAAGAGTCACTTTTTGTGGTTGTGGTTGTAGTTGTGGTTGTTGTTTAATTGTTTCTGTAGTTTTCAGAGCTGAGGTCTGAAGTTAAATTTTTGCACTTGCCAGGCAAGTTTCCTTTCAATGAGCGAAGTCCCCAGCCCCTGTTTTTTTGTAATCAGCTGATGTGCAGTCAGTGCTGTCATGTGAACTTTGGATCTGTGAGGAAGTGAATGAGAAGTGATGTGCAGTCCATCCCTTGCTCATGCCGAAAACACTGGCAGTAGCTACTAGAATAAAGGACAGACTCACGTGACTAAGAAGTTCTGACAGTTTTGAGTTTCCTTCACAGGTCTGGCATGGAGTGTCATCAATATCATTTAAAAACATAGTATTTTGATAAAAGCATAATAGACAACCACACATGAGTTTTCAATAATACTGCCTTAGAGTTTATACTGTTGAGAGCAGGTAATTGTATGTTATCAGGTAACATTTGATGAAACTCCATCCACTGTTAGAGATTTGGGTTCAGTGTGAAGGCTGACTACATTTGAGCTAGGTACTAAAAGCCTTGAAATGTTCAACAGCAATTTTGGAGCATAGTCACACAAATAGGCATGCTTTTCTCTAGGATAACAATTCAAAGTATAGACAGAGTCTCTCAGGCTGTTTCTTGTAATGAACTTAGCATTCTCAGTTTGCTTTCAGCAGAACACTATTTGTCAAAACAAATTGTTGCTCATCTTTGTAGATTTGATCACACGGTTCAATAAGCTGCGAGTACACCATGAGTTTTGAATTTATGCATAAAATAATATAGGTCAACACAAAGGGTAGATCTGTGATTTTTCCTCTCTGTAAAATCAGTTCACTGCTCAAGTTTAATAAATGCTGATTTTTATAGTCTCAGGTGTTTGTGTTTCCCTTTTTCTCTTTCCCCACATCTTTTTAGTCATTAATTGCCAAACAGTACAAACTGTAAGCCTGTAGGGTTTTAATTGTGTGTGTGTTCCGGTCCTGGAGCTTGGGCTCTGGGCATGGGCTCTGTGCCCTGAGCTTTTGTGCTTAAGGTTAGTGCTATTCTGTTTGAAGCAAGCGACAGCTCCACTTTCAGCTTTTCTGGTAGTTTGAGATAAGAGTCTCATGGACTTTCCTTTTTGGGCTGGCTTCAAATCACAGCACTCAATCTCAGACTCCTTGGTAGTTAGGGTTGTAGTCACGAGCCATTGATGACTCATTTTGTGTTTTAATCTTTGTTTCATGGCAAGAGAACAAAGAAAACATTGAAATAACTTAGCATTGCTATTCTGCTAGACTTTGGGACTACTGGTGCTTAAAAATGAAGTGACCCACTGGGGTCTGGCTGATGGGTAGATGTGAGCATTTATGAAGGGGCTTCAACTAGGTGTGTGTCATTTTATACATCAAATACATTTGAGTTAAGATCTTGTTTAAAGCCAGGCACCAATGGTGCATGCTTGTAACCCTAGCTACTCAAGAGGCTGAGAGCTGAGGATCACGGTTGGATGTCAGCCATGTTAAGAAAGTTTGTGAGAAATAATCTTATAAATGCGTTAGAAACAAATGCATGAAAGAAAAAAAAACATTTAAATACATGTCTTAGGTTTCATTTTCTTAACATCACCTTATCTGACCTTTTCTGCTTGACTCATACATATACTAGATAATGCAAATAAGGGAATCCATGGGACCTATGTTTCTTTGGGCTTGGCTTACTTCATTTAATGTAATTTTTTCCCAAGTCTTTCCATTTCCTAACAAATGTGGCAATGTTATAGGATTACTTCTTTGTTGCTTTGTATGTCCCTCCCCCACAGTATAACCCCTGCTTTCACTGTATTTTATATGGTATAATTTGTGGAGGGGAAGGGGAAAAACAAGTCGTTTAAATAAGGATACAGTTGGACCCGTTGCAACAATGAGAAGTACAAGTTGTCGTGTTGAAAACGAACTTTACAACTTTGGGGGTTGGAGAATTGGGTGGGGGGAAGGGGGGAGGCTGGGAAGGGATGGGAAGGGTAAATAATGGAGGAAGCTACAATGCTTGATAAGAAATGTACTCACTTTCTTGCCCATGTAATTATAACCCTTCTGTACAGTATTTTTACAATAAAAAAGAAGAAAGAAAAAGAAGAAAAAGAAAAAAAAGAAAGTTTATGAGATCCTTATCTCTACCCACCAAAAAGCTGGAAGTGGAGTTGTGTCTAAAGTGGTAGAATCCTAGCCTTGCGAAAAATACCTCAGGGGCAGTAGCTAAGTCCTGAGTTCAAGCCCAGGACCTGCAAATAAAAATGAACAGACAAACATCTTGTTCATAAAGTAAAAGTTTTTAATAAGAGCACAGATCTGTAGCCAACTGATACTTGACAAAGGAGCCAAAAGACACACACTGGAGAAAAAAATACTCTCCAATAAATGGTGTTAAGAAAGCGGGTCATCCACTTAAGATACTGAAAGTGGGCCTTTTGTCACCTTCTAAAAACAAAAACAAAAACAAAAATCTCCAAGAGGTACAGAGAGCTCAAAATGAGAACTGAAGTTTTAAATCTACTACAGAAAAATATAAGAAAACTTATGAAACACAGGCAATTATTTTCTGAACAGGACTCCAGAGAATGGAAACAAACATGGGTAAATGGGACAGTATCAAATTAAGAGTTTTTTCAAAGCAAAAGAAGTGACCAGAATCAAGAGACAACTCAAAGAATAAGAGAATAATCTTTGCCAGCTATCCAACAAATAAAGAATTGATATCCATACTACACAGAGGACTGAAATTAGACATAAAAAACCCACAAATAATGTAATTACATAGTTTAAAGAAGAATAAAGGGATGGCTAATAAAGTCATCAGGAAATGTCCAACAGCCTTAGTTATAATAAAGAATATGCAAATTAAAACTGCAATAAGATTACATCTACTTCAGTTAGAATGACAGCCACCAAGAAAATGCTGGCAAGATGCATTAGAAAAGGAATCTTTATAGTCTTTTGGTGGGAATGTAAACTAGTGGAATCATTATGGATATCAGTCTAAAAATAAACCCTTGCAAAGACTTCACTATATCAGTATGAGGCATATGTCAATAGAATAAATCAATATACCAGAAAGATGTCAGAATAACTCATGTTTATTACAGCACTGTGTAAAACAGCCAAATAATGGAATCAGGCAACTGGAATCTTCTTCTTCTTTTTTTTTTTTTTTTGGTCAGTCGTGGGCCTTGAACTCTGCGCTTGGGTGCTGTCCCTCAGCTCTTCAGCTTAAGGAGAGCGCTCTACCGCTTGAGCCCACAGCATCACTTCTGGGGATTACAGGCATGAGCCACTGGCGCCCAGCATTGGAATCTTCTTAAATGATAAAGAGGAAGTGGTATTGATGCACAATGGAAGGTTACACAGCCATGAAGGAAAATGAAATCATGTCGCTTTCAGAAAAATGGATACAATTAGAAGACATCATAATGAGCTAAGCTAAAAAAAAAAAACCCACAAGATATATGTTTTTTTCTCCTATATAAAAGCTAGACCTAAAAAGCATATGTATTTGTAGACATGATTCTACTTTTATTATTATGGGCAGACATACAATTTCAGTCTACAAGTCTATTTAAGAGGAGAAGGGGAAAACAGGGTGAATAATTTTGAGATACATTGTAACTATATATGAAAATTACTTGAGAGCTGTTGATCAATAGCAAGTTGGGGGAGAGAGAGAGGCTAGGGTGGAGCACTAGTAAGAGGGTTGACTAACTAAGGGGAAAGAGAATGAATATGGTTTTAGTAGATTTTTGTCAAAATAAAACTGAAACCTGTTGAAATTGTTTTGAGAAGAGGGAGGATAACATTACGTGGAAATGTCACAACTATAACTATTTTATGATAATTTGTTAAATGCCAGGGACTTGTTGCTTACATCTATAGTCCTAGCTACTTAGGAGGTTGAGATCTGAGAACTACAGTTTGAAACCAGCTCAGGCAGATGAACCTGAGATAGATATTCTGATCTCTAGTTAAACAGTAAAAAAAAAAAAAAAAGCTGGAAGTGAAAGTATACCTCAGTGGTAGAGTGCCAGCCTTGAGAGAAAAAGCTGACAGAGGGGAGAGAGAGAGAGAGACACCCTGAGCTCAAGACTCAGAAACCTTTACAACAAAAGAAAAAGCAAAACCAAAGTGGAAGTTAATCAAAATTTATGGCAAAAAGAAACTGTGAGATTAAAAAAAAATGGTTAGTAATTTTTCTTTGTTGATCATGGGGCCTGAACACTTAGCCTAGGCTCTGTCCCTCAGCTATTCAGCTCAATGCTAGTGTTCTTCCACTTGAGCCAAAACACCACTTCCAACTTTTTCTGCTTATGTGGTGCTGAGGAATCGAACCCAGGGCCTCATGCATGCTAGGCAAGCACTCTACCACTTGGTCACTTTCCCAGTCCCTGTTACTAATTATTAAAGAGATGTACAGAGGGGTCACCATTTCATAAGCAGATAATGAATGTATTTCTTTGGTGGCAATTTCACCCCTTCCTTTGCTCTCTCCATTTCCCTCTCCCATCTCTACCTACAAATTGTATAGTTCATTTTCCTGATAGTGTCTACTGAGTATCAATGCTGCATTTGTTTAACCTTGGTTCTTCCATTTTTTGCCTACTCTTACCCCCCAAAGACAGTTAAAGGAACAAACAGACAAAAAACAATAAACAAAGACTAAAAAGCAAAAAACAACACCATCTTCATCAACAATGGGAAAAAAATATTAAAAACTTGTTGCCATTTCCTGGCATTCATGTTGATAAATATTATTTTACAAGTTCACTGGCACAGAGGCATTCATTGCACCTTTGGGTCCTTTCCTTAAGAGTACCTCCTTTAATTGTAAGGGTCTTTTAAAACTGATTGCAGTTTCTACACGCTTAGAACACACAATATTTAAGTTGAGATGTATTTTATTAATGCAGCTTAATTTATATGTACTTTAAAACCTTAAAAAGCCATCATTGAAAACTTTTTTTCTGCACTAGGATGAAAAAAATGCTGGATTCTGTATATAACTGTAATATTTTCCCAGCAATATTGGGAATTGAGCTTGGCTTGTTAGACCAAGCCTGTGTCACTTGAGCCACACATCCAATTCTACATTTTAACAGTTTACTGAAAGTAATATTTCTTTTTCTGGGCCTTCATAAAATGTAATGTTCAATTAGTATTAATGTCAATACAGAAAGGAAAAGAATGAGGTCATGTGAATTAAAATTCTAATTTTCTTTGTGCTTTCATTTCATCTGTAGATGGTATATTAAAATGAAATATATAAATTAATTCAATGTCTTGTTTTGCTGGATTAGTTATTACCAGCTTATTTATAATCATATGTGATCCTTTTTGTAAAATTTATTTCTACCTTATTGCCATTTTCTGAGTTTGTTCAGATGGTCTTTTTCTTCCTTTTGGGAGTACTAGGTTTGAACTCAGGGCCCTTGCACTAGCCACGCAGAGGCTCCATCACTTGAGTTATGCCCCCAATCCTTTTTCATTATTATTTTTTTTTGTCGGTCGTGGGGCTTGAACTCTGGGCCTGGGCGCTGTCCCTCAGCTCTTCAGCTCAAGGCGAGCGTTCTACCGCTTGAGCTACATTGCCACTTCCGGTTTTCTGGTGGTTTCTTGGAGATAGGAGTCTCACGGTCTTTCTTGCCCGGGCTGGCTTTGAACCGCGATCCTCAGATCTCAGCCTCCTGAATAGCCAGGATTACAGGCGTGAGCCACCAGTGCTCGGCTTCATTATTTTTTGAATAAAGTACCTTTTTACCCAGGCTAGCCTGACCACAGCCTGCCAAGTAAGAGCTCCCATGTCTGTATAGCTCTTGTGGCAGGTGTAAACACTACACCAGCATTTTGTTGGTCTCTTACTCCAACCAAACACTGTGGTGCCAGGCCCAATAGTCTTATTTTTTATTGGGAGTATTTTTAATACTTGTAGAATATTTATGTTTGAGGCTGGGAATGTGCCTTAGTGGGAGAGTGCTCGCCTAGCAAGCATGAAGCCCTGTGTTGGATTCCTTAGTACCACATAAACAGAAAAGGCCAGAAGTGGCACTGTATCTCAAGTAATAGAGTGCTAGCCTTGAGAAAAGAAGCTCAGGAGCAGTGCCAGGCCTGAGTTCAAGCCCCAGGACTGACAAAAAGAAAAAAGAAAAAAAGAATATTTATGGTATGCTCACTCTTTCCCTCTTTCTGTCTCTCATGCTGATCATGGTGCTTGAACTCAGGACCTGGGCACATAAGCCCAGTGCTCTACCATTTGAACTAATTCACTAAAGCTAGTGCTTTACCACTTTGAGCCACAGCTCCATTTCTGGTTTTCTGGTGATTAACTGGAGATAAGACTCTCACATACTTTCTTGCCTAGGCTTGCTTTGGACTGTGATTTTTGATTTCAGCCTCCTGAGTAGCTAGGATTATAGGCATGAGCCACTGGTGCCTTGCCTATATCCCATTCTTAATTTTAGATTATTTATGGAAATTTCTATTTATAAAATAACTTTTCACATTCTGGAAATTTATATGGATAAGAAATTCATTTTGGTGTGGCAGTTGTATGTGTACAGAACTCCTTGAAAAGCAAACCCTTAAGAAATAAGACACTAAACTTGAGCTCAGTGACTCCCACTTGTAATCACTAGAGACCTGGGAGGATCATGGTTTGAGGCTATCTGGGGAAAAGGACTGAATATCAACAAGCCAGGCTTGGGGGTATGCATCTGTAATCTCAGCTATGCAGAAAGCGTAAGTAGGAAAATCTTGCTTCAGTGCAATGCTCTTAAGTTCAAACCCTAATACTGCTTTTATTGGAAAAAGAAGAAATGGGTCATTATTATTTTTTTTTTTTTGCGAGCTTATGTTTGTAAAAGCATTGGTGTAATTCATTCATATGACTGCAGAGGCTTTTGCTGTTTTTCAGTGGCATGAAGTTAAAGGCCCCAAAGAAAGAAACCTTGGAGGAGGAGACCCTGGGTGACCTGGATGAGGAGTCCCCAGCCAAGTAGGGTGTTTTGCATATTTTCTCATTGGATTGTAATCTTTTCATACATCTTCTTAATGTATTAATAAGGAGCAATGTAGTTCAAGCTATCTAATGAGTAATTGTTTTTAACTTAGTCAACTTACTTGGGGTCTGAAACTTACATTCCCATTTTTTCTTGCTAACAGTAGATGGCATTGGGTCTTGCCTTATGACCATAGTCATTCCCTGCTTCGTTTTTAAAAATATTTTTGTTATCTTTAGGTATTTGTACAGAGCAGTTTATGAATATTGTGTGTCTTGATCAATGTTACCCTTTCAGCATTCTCCCCCAACCCTCCAAGCCACCCTTCCCTTTACTTATCTTAATTCTAGGTTATGTATTGAATGTTTTGCAATTTAATAAAGAAATTTATGTGTACTCTGCATCTTGATTTGTGTCACCACATCAACATCTTTGCACACTCCCTTTTGACACACCCTTTCCCTTAATGTGTCTCAATTCTGTGGTATGGATTCTTGCCTGCATTCTCCACACTTCCCCCTTCATCTACCCTTCTCCCCTTGCTCCCCTAGCCTTCTCCTCTTGCTAGCACCAATATCCTGGTTCTTGTTTTGCTGGGCTTTGATTTAAAGTCTGCACAATTGCTAATGAGTGATTTAAAAATTTTTAGGTACTGTGTTTTGAACTGGAGCCTTGAGCTCTTGCTCAGCTTTCCGACAGCTAGTGCTGCACCACTTAGTTGCTGCTGGTTATTTTGGAGATGGAGTCTACGACTTTTTGCCTGGGCTGGCTTCAAACTGCAATCCTCTGGATCTCAGTCTTCAGAAGAGCTAACATGCAGCATGACCCACTTGTGTCCCCTTCTAACGGGTTTTAATAAAATTAATGAGTTAAATTCAAATATTCTGTTCTTTGCCCACCTCTTTCCATCAGTAGCTTGTTCAACTCATTTCTTCTGTTACTCTCGCCAAGTCCCTCTTTTCTCGCTTTTTTTCTTGTAGCTAAGGTGTCTGGTCCGTATCCAGCAGGTTTCTACCTTAAGTCTACTTGTCCTTTCGAGTTCCTGTGGGATCTTGCTTAGCCAAACCCAAGCTCGATGACTCCTCACAGTTGTCCGCCCTGCCTGAACCCACAGACAGGCACTGTAATCATTTGAAACCTCTGCATGTCTTGACTCCCAGTATTCTGAAATGAGCCCTCAGTTCCACCTAGCAATCTGTTTCAGGGTTTCACTTTTACCGCCTTTACAGCTTAGACCTTCTTGTCTGCTCAGAACTCTGACTCTACCCTTTCCTTCTCACCCCACACCTCCTCTTTCATTCTCCCTGTGCAGCTCTGTGTCTTAAACAAAGTGGGAGCCATCAGATGGGAACTTCACAGTTTTCTCACTGTCAAAGGTACAAACCTGTCTATAGCCACTCACCTCCTAGCTTTCTGCCTTCCTGGTAAAAGACTATCTTCTTACAGCTCTTCAAGTTTTTTGTCTTTTCTCTCTCAAATTCATAGAAACTTCATAGTTACGGCTTTTCTCCTCTGAATTCATCTTCTTTCTCCCAGATCTGGTCTTGGAATCAACATTTTAAACATGGTCATTCTCATGCTGGCGCTGGGACTTGAACGCAGGGACTCTCGTTTGACTTTTTTGCTCACGACTGGCAACATTAGCTAAAGCCATGCCTCCAGTTGTGTTTTTTCTGGATAATTGGAGATAAGAGTCTGAAGGATTTGTGTACCCAGGCTGGCTTCAAACTGTGATTCTTAGATCTCAGCCTCCTGAATAGGTAGGATTACAGGTGTGAGCCACTGGTGCTTAGCACTCAGAGATCTGCTGAACCTTCTCTTGACCCTCCATTCTCTCATGCTTCCATCTTTCTGAGTTGTGTTCCCTCTTTCTTCATTTCCATACCCCATCCTCATTCCTCACTTCACTCTTGCCCTCTTGTCCTTCTGGAAGCTGTCACCATGTCTCCTGATGTAATGGTTGTTTCAACATGAGTCTTCTTGGTTCTCAGAAGCATTGGACTTTATTGTTTTCTTAAACATGTCCTCTCACTGGCTTCTGACATCACTGTACTGGATTACCTTCTGCCTCTCAGTATCTCCGTTGTAGGCTCATCCTTATCTTGTTGGTCTTTTAAAATGCCATTTCCTTCAGCTTATCTTCTAGAGCCCGTTTGTGGGATCTTATGTATCCTGTGGCTTAAACTGTCAGATATATCTCCAGAATTTATCTCTGTGTCCTTCCTTCAGTATACTTCTGGACACCTCCCCTGATCCCATATATTCCTTGTATTCCACATCTCCAGGATTTAGCAAATTACTTTCATTACAAGCCTCTGAGCCTCCTTAGTTGTTTCCACAAACTAGAAGCCTAGGAATCACCCATGCAACTCCTTTTGAGACTGCCTCTTCCAAATTGAATCCTTCCCTCTGCCCTGTGTGATTTGTACCCTACCTCCAACAGCACAGTCACCTGGCTGTCACGTGTCTCCCTGCATTTTCAGCTTGTATGCCAAAGTGGCATTCAGACTGCTGTGCCCTCTTGCTCACTGAATCCTGTTCTTCTTTAAGTTTCTGACCTGACCTGCCCAGTCCTACATGGTCTGGCCTCCACAGGACCCCTGGCTCTAACTGTGCCTTCCTGGGTTCACTTCATGTCTCCTATTTTTAATCTCAGACATACCTGTCCTCTACTACTATCCTCACATCTGACATACTTTCACAAGTATTGATTTCCTGTTCTCTATTCTTCCATTCATCTTCACCTTCAAACCATTGGAACTTTTACTCATTCTTCATCTGCCCAAGGCAGCGTGTCTAAAGAGCATAGACTTGAACCTAGAGTGCTGAGTACAAATTCTAGCTCCACCACTCACCAGACTGGACAAGTTATTTAATCTTTCTTCATTGGTTCTGTTTTCTTCATCTGTAAAATGGTAACAATATAGTACTTGTGCTAAAGGATTGTTGTAAGGAGTGTGTGTATGTGTAAGGGAGAGAATGTACACATAGTGCCTAGCATCTGGTTAGCACTATAGAAATATCACTGTGAATATCTATATAGATATAGAAATATCAATATTATCAGTGTGACTTATCCTAAGAGTAAAAAGGCCATAATTATTGGTGATTATCAAAAGAATTAATTTGCTATTCAAAGCTGATGGGAACATGCTTTGTTCTCATAACTCCACGTTGCTCTTATGTCCTCTCACCTCCCACCCCTCCTACCCCCGAGTCCTTCCTGGTTCTCAGGAATAGTTCATCCCTGACTTCATCTGAAGTGCAGGACCAAAGCCAGGCACTGATGCCTCACTCCTGTCATCCCAGTTACTCAGGAGGCTGAGATCTGAGGATCACAGTTCAAAGCCATCTCAGGTAGGAAAGACTGTGAGACTCTTATCTCCAATTAACCACCAGAAAACCAGAAGCGGCACTGTGGCTCAAGTGGTAGAGCAGTAGCCTTGAGCTGAAGAGCTGAGGGACAGCACCTAGGCCCAGAGTTAAAGCCCCATGGCCTACAAAAAAACAAAGGAAAGTTCAGGACTAGGATGATACCTCTGCTAGAAAATCTCAAATGGAATCTAAATTCCAAACAGGACAGTTTGGATAATAAATCCCAAATAGGACCAGACAAAGAATCTCCAAAGAAGAGTCTAACAACTCCTGGTTTCTTCTTCGAGCCCAATCCTTTTATCTATCCAAAGACTCTATATGAAAGACTTACCTCTCCCCTCTTGTCCCAATCTTCTTATGTATCTAAAGATCGAATATGAAGGAATGACCGCCGCCTTACTGTCTCAGGCACATATGGACCAGGCAAAGCCCAGGTATGTGTGGACTTGATGTGCAGGCAGGGCAGTCTGACCCAAGCCTGGCCTTCAACATTCCACTGTGAGCTGATTGAAAGTCCCTGCCTTTCTCTGCCCTAATAGCCTTTTGATAACCTCTGGCCCCTGGCTCAGACCCCACAAAACCCACCTCCAAACCCAGCTTCTTGTAGCCTCCATTCCTGCAGGAAGGTTGGTTGCCGCTTGCTGATTCTCAGTAAGTAGACCTGTCGAGATGGAGAGTCCAACCTGTTCCTATTCCTTTTTCTATTTTTGTTAACAAAAACTGCAAAATATGTTGGAAAAATAAGATTAATAGTTAATATGATGACTTAAGCAGTGACTTGCTTAAATAAATACATGTAAATTTATATGAATGTTGGGAAAGTACATTAACTGGATACCTCTGGGAACACATAATATTCTTTCTGAACCAATGAACATTTATATATAGTTGGGTGATATAAGGTTGAGTAACAGAATAAAATATAGCATCATTCTAATCTTCATACTTATGGAGATACTGTAGCATTCATAAAAGACAAAGTGATTCTATGATCTCTCTAAGAGATGGCAATCTCCATGAGGGCTAGTCCACAAATCTCCACTGGCCATAGCTGTTACTAAGCATCTGGTTGAACTGCTGGTGCTACCATGTAGAGCAGCCAGGTTGGCCAACCATGCTGAGAAATCCTGGTTTCTGTTTTCTCTTGTCAAGCTTTTGAAAGTTGGAAAAACTATATCAAATGACAGTGACACTGGCTGGTCTCAGCCTTGTCTAAATAGTGATTTAACATTGCTGCTTTCAATAATATATAATGTGTACTTCTCAGTTATAGAAACTCTAGATGAATGAATTCAATACTATATACCCAGTAATGTTTTCTTTTACTGACAATCACAACTGCTCTTCTTTTTGATGTTGCTTCCTTAGAGGAATGTGAAATGTTCTTTGTCCCATGTGTTCTAATATGTGAGGATAACTGTCACAACTTGTATTTTGTTATAAAAGTAGCATTTCTGAAGTATTACTGTGCGCCAACATCTGCTCTTTATAGAAATGTGTATTAATTCACTGAACTCTGAACTGCTCTGAGCAGTTAACTCTTACCTTTCTCACATGGAAGCACAGGGTTAAACAACTTATTAGTAAGTACATGGCCAGAATTAGAGTCTAACTGTGCACCAGACAGAAAATGATAAGAATGGTTACTTGGAATTCAACTGACCATCCTGTTAGGGACTTCCATTAGCTGGGAATAGGTTGCTCAGTCCTATAATCATAGCTCCTCAGGATGCAGAGATCTGAGGATTGAGGTTCAAAAGCCAGCCCAAGCAGGAAAAGTCCATGAGACGCTTATCTTCATGTAACCACCAGAACTGAAAGTGGCAATGTGGTTCAAATAGGTAGAGCGCTAGCTTTGGCAAAAATGCTCAGGAACAGCCCGTAGACTCTGAATTCAAGCCCCACAATGGACACACACACACACACACACACACACACAGAGAGAGAGAGAGAGAGAGAGAGAGAGAGAGAGAGAGAGAGAGAGAGAGACCTTCTCCTAAAAAGAGAAGATACTGGTTCTGTCAGCTTGAGGATTGCCAGAAAGATCACTGATGATTTCCCTAGATAGAATTGATGGAACAACCACCCTATTCCTTCCCTTCATGAAAAGAAAATGTTGAGGATATGTTTGCTTGCTTGCTATCTTGTACAAGGGTTTGAACTGAAGGACTCAGCTTGCTTGCTTGTCACTCTCCCACTTAAGTTATGCCTCCAAACTAGCTTTTTTTGTTGGTCATGGGGCTTGACCTCTGGGCCTAGGCTCTGTCCCTGAGCTCTTCAGGTCAAGGTGAGCACTTGAGCCACAGCACCACTTCCAGTTTTCTAGTGGTTAATTGGAGATGAGTCTAACAGACTTTCCTGCCTGGGCTGGCTTTGAACCAGGATCCTCAGATCTCAGCCTCCTGAGTAACTTGGATTACAGGTATGGACCACCAGCACCCAATCCAGCCTAGCTTTTGCTGGTTATTTGGGAAAAGTCATCTTGCAGACTTGTTATTCACAAGAGCTCAATTCTCCTCTATAAGACTGTAGTTATGAGCCACCGTGGTCTAGCTGAGTAACTATTAATACAAGATATCTATCTTCTATTGCACTTTGTTTCCAAGTGTATTTGTATAAACAGTGAAGATTTTGCATATTTGCGTGTTAGGTTAAATTTGCTTGCCTCACTCATGTCTGATTAGTAAGTTTTACTTAGTTCTAGGGCCCACTTTCTTTGGTTCACAGTATTTTTTCCCTAGGTTCAGGTAGAAAGTGGAAATGTGTACGTGTGGACTGGTGTTTTAGATATTCTCTTGAAATATGACTTTTTATAAGCTCCATTGCCCCCTTACTCCCTAAATCTCAATGTAGTACAAAGGTGAAGCCTTTATAGATACAATGCAGCAGCACTGTGGTACCTTGGAGCCCCGCAGGTTCATCACATGGACCTCTGATGGGTCTACGTGGGCTGGGTATGAGTGTCTTCCCAGGATGCACATTTAGAAGTGCCACTCCCTTTCTTGGTACTGGAAGCAACTGGTGCCACATATAATTTCTACTCTAATATTTTCCTTCAGTGATATAAACAGGACCAGAACATAGAAATACTATGTTTTATTACAACAATATACATAACCTACATTATTTCAACCTTTAAAACCATTGTAGTATTTTGTGTACAGTAAGTATTTTTTCTGTAATTCTTTTTTTTACTTTTGAATGTAACTGAAGTAATGTAGTTTGTGCGTATTTTATCATTCTAGTATAACTTCATTTGCAGTACTTACATGCAACTATTTTTCAAATTCTGAGATTTAATATTATGTTTTTGGATAATTTTATTGTACTTTTATTTCAGTTTGCCATTATGGCCTTATAAATACAAACAATAAAATCCATTCTTGCTAGTATGGAGTTCAATGTCCTTTGGAAACTACAGACTCAGGATATAACATTGTGCATACACTAATGTGTATCACCTTATTTACAACTGCTCCATAAAATTAGTAGTTCAGATGGCAGCCTCTTCATCTTGCACACTAGGCCCACTGGGCATGCTGGGGCCTCTGGTGAAGTAAAAGCCTAGCTGCAGCCCTCCCACCTTCTGCAATGCCAGTGGACTCTGGGAGAAGAAGACTTGCTGGCAGGCTAGGGCAGTCCTCAGTGGGTGTCACAGCACAGAGCCAGCTGCAGTCGCTGGAAGCTCTACCTGGGCATGGCTTACATGGCACGGTGCCACTGAAGCACTCTAGCACCTTCCTGCAGGCCCAGGGCCTGAATGTCCCTTCCCTGGGATCTCACATTGCATTTCATGATGGGGCTGACTGAATCGAAGCCATTCTCCAGATCTGCTTGTACATAGTTAGCCTTCTTGGAGCAGGGGATGACTCTGCTGGGCTGTGAGGAGAAAGACAGGCCCAGAGGTGGTTACTCCAACTTTTGTACCCAGGTCAGTGTGGAAGCTTCCTTCCCTGCATCCTCCCACCGGATCAAGCAGCCCCGCTCCTTGTCCATGGAATAGCAACCATTGACACTCATGTCAGGTACTAATGGCTGCTCTTTTGGGTTCGTTAATTTATGTAAAGAGAGCCCCTCCCTCAGACAACAAGTTATATTCTGGTTTCTGTAAACATTCTGTATCTGAGCATTCCCAATGTTTGGCTTTTTTATTCTTTCTTGTAAATTCTAGTGAAATTTGTATTTTAGGTGTTGAGGTATGGGGAAGAGCAGCCAGATTATGAATATAGTTTCCTACAAGCTTTTTAGCTAAAAAGGAAAACATATTCTCCTCTAAAACTGCTTATCAGTCAATAAATTAGAGGGGAACAAGGCTGTTTTCTCCTAAGATCAAAATATGCTAGTTTTATATGCATGCTTTATGTGTTCAAAATACAATTAAGTCGGCCTGGGAAGGTGGCTCAGTGGTAGAGAGCTTGCTTTGCATGCCTGAGGCCCTGGGATCGATTCCTCAACACCACATAAGCAAAAAGAAAAAAAGCCAGAAGTGGCGCTGTGGCTCAAGTGGTAGAGTGCTAGCCTTGAACTCAAGATCTGAGGGACAGAGCCCAGGCCCAGAGTTCAGGCACCAGGGCCGGACCCCCGCAAAAATACAATTAATTCATTCTCTATCGTGGATACGATTGGGCAAAACTAAGAGTTAAGTGTCCTGGGAGCTAGAGGCAGGATTTTTGTGAGCTTTATCCAAAGGGGGGGGGGGGGAGTGGGGAGAGAGGGGGAAAGTGTTAAAATCCGTACATTATTTTGTAGAATCAAAGTAATACAAAATGAGGATGACAAAAAATCTGTCTGGTCTAGATCTCATGTGCTGCCCTTGACATGGCACTTTTGCCTTTTCTGGCTGTGGTTAGGTCCACCTGCCTGGTGGGTAAGTTGTCTTCAAGGTATCTTGGTCCTGAAGTGGGACCTGGATTACCTAGTGGCAGTGGTAACCAGTCCAAGGACAGAACAAAGACCATTTCCAATGCATGGCTCCTTAATTCCTCATGCGACTAGGATTACCAGTGAAATTTCTCTGAATTTGACTCCAGAAAACAATCACTGAACCAAAAGGAAAGGCCACCAAACACCTTTCCTATTCCTCCAATCCCTCCTTCCTTGGTAAAGCGCAAAATAGTTTTGCAGGTTTTGGTGCACAAACAAATCACCCACCCTTCCCAGGTAAACTAAGTTGCAAGTGACTAAGTCATGTAAATGCATAATGCCACACTCTTTATTCTGGACAACATCTTCAGGTTGTTTGATGCTTTAATCTTTTTTTTAAATTTCTTTTTGTCAGTTGTGGGGCTTGAACTCTGGGCCTGAGTGTTAATATGTTCCTGAACTCCTCAGATCAAGGGGAGCCCTCTACCACTTGAGCCACAACAACACTTCCTCTTATCTGGTGGTTAAGTGGAGATAACAGTCTCACAGACATTCCTGCCAGGGTCTGCTTTGGACCATGAATTTTTAAATTATATTTCTATATATTTTTGCTAATTTCAGGAGACTTGGTTCTCCTTCCTCTTTAATTTTCTCCTGTATCTTCTTGTTTTGGAACAAATGTCATGGACTGTCCATCCATTCAAAATTAAGCTTATTTCATTAATTTAATAGAAAAGGAATCAAGCCAGCCTGCATCTCAGGGCAGCTTTGCAAATAATGTTAATCTGATAATTCACATCATGACTTTTCAAAGTCATGTTGATAATTTTTTGTAAACCATTCACTAAAGAGTTCCCAATAAGCAAGAATAAATAATAATGTTCTGATTTCTAGCAAGGTTAAAAAAACTAGTAATTCATCAAAACACATTGTATGCTTCCTAGATTCCATGGTGAAGAAGCCCTTAACACTAACTCCCTCCTTTCAAACTTATAGTTTTATTCAGTTTTACTGTGATGGCTTTCATCGGTACTAGCATCAGTAATCTCCTGGTAGTATTTGACAGTGAAATTCCATTTGTTAATAGCTCAATTCTTATTGACAATGGTAGACTCATGAGTTAACTATCACAGAGCATAAAATATTGAATAGCATTAATTATAGGCAACTATTCCATAAACTAATATAAGTACCATGTATATGCATGTTCATATACTTTTTAAAATGCAAAATTACATATCTGTGTCTAGTCACCTCTGTATAACCTCTTTCCTTTCCACATCCAGTTAGTCACTCATGTTAAATACCTGAAGAATAACTTGTCCCAATGTGCCTTCAAGAGGACAGGGGTACCCAAGTCGACTGGCTGTGTCCACTCTGCCCTTGTTTTCTTAGGCAATGCGGTATCATTGTCAGGGGTGTCAGGGATCAGGTGGCTGGAACCATAGTACTATGAATTATGTAGAACACAGTATCAGAGACTAGGATACCAGGGAAAGAAGAATTGTGACTGTAATCACTGAGTCGCAGTGGCCAGGTGTAGGAAGCATGTCTCGAGTTCACTGCTCCTGCTGCTCCGAGCCCAAGGAAGCTGGGAAGGTTCCAGCTCTGGATCAGGACCAGGCTTTGTGAACAAGCCCGGGTGAGGAATCTGGGGACCTGCACAGTGGCCGCCTCGTGCAGCCTGGAAACTTCCTTAGCATGGCCTAGTCTTCTCCAGAGAAAGGCACATTCACTCCTGTGCCTCTCCTGCCTTCAGGATTCCTGCTGTCCTCTTGTCTTCTGCCATGTCCAACTACAGGTATCAACTTCTCCACACCACTGAGAGGCCATCACAGAGATGCTCACAGGGCTTCCCATGCCTGGTTCACCAAGCATGCAGGGCTCGGGGGTGCCATCCTCCAGGCAAAGTGTACCCCATTTCAGCTTGGGCGCCCCTGCCTAGGGGACCACGAA